AGAAAATAAGATGAGACAGTGTAGTTTTAGGATTATGTGATACAAGGATAATTAAAATATTTAAGAAATATTATTAAACAAGTACCCGCGGGTATGGATATCATCATATCCGCCCCCACCCCATTTATAAATGGGTAAAAAATTATCCGTCCTCATTATCCGCGAGTACCTAATTAGCCTATCCATTTATTATCCGTAGCAGATTTTATCCGCAAATACCCACATATACGAATAATTTTGCCATCCTTATTCCGGGGTATATATGGATAGAATGTGTTTTTCTGTGGTACAAGGTTACAAATTTAATTTCGGAATATATGGAAATGGTTTTCATATTTCATGGTTTTATTACCACGGGAGAAGGTGGATAAGTTGATTCACATAATATGAAAATTAAAGTTTTTATTTTTATTCATTTTAACTTTCATAAAACATTTTCATCACTAACCCAAATTATCTTTGTAAAATACTTGAAAATGGCATTCTCATCATTATATTCCTAGGAATATTATTTTTGAGAATGAAAGTTGATAATTTCAGTCAGACGTTACTTACAATTATAATAATTTTGTTACTATTTGTGACATAAATTGTAAAGAATTTATGCTTTAGTTATATTGTTGGTTTAAAATTGTAAGTAGATAATTAATTTCTATACACTAGAATAATTTTCATGAATAAAAGTATTGTTTTAGGTGTTTTTAAGGAAAATATTTTTTTAAAAAAATAAGGAAAGTACTTTTTAAAAAAAGTCGACAACAATATTTTTAAATCTAACAATAATACATTGTGGTCATCTAAAAATAATACATAAATCTAACAACTAACAACATTCCTAAACAAGATAAAATAAATCGAATAAATAGAATAACAAATCATGAGTTATGAACCTCGATATCACATCCTACTAGACTTTCTATTAGTAGTTTAGAAAACCTCATTCAGAACAGACCCAAATGTAAAAGGAAGGTTCCAAGTTAGTTATTTAATCAACTCCTATATATTAAACATGAACATTTTTAAAGATTTTTTTTAACAAAGGGTTATTAACATTTTTTTAACTCTTATCTAATTCAATTTTTATTTATTATTATTTTTTATGAATAAAATTTTAATATTTTTAAAATAATTTTCAATAAATAAAAAATATTGTGCTATAATACAAAGTATTCATTAAAAATTTAAAATAAAATTTATGTAACGACCCGCCAGGTCTCACACTGTCTATAGCGTCCAAATACAAGTATAAAAATAAAATCTCACCACTAAACAATTATAGATATAATGAGAATACACAACTAAAAAGTCTCAATATATATATAACTGAAAGTAGGGAAATAATACTCTATACAACAACTAGGTAGTCAAAAGCTACCAATCAACTAACTACAACGTTAGCCCTCCTCCTGAGTCTCGAAGCTCACCCAGTCCAGCAGAACACCTATCCCGATCTGCTCGCATACCAAGATATGGTCATCGCAGTCCCAACCACATAGGGAAAACACGTTAGGGTAAGCTCACAACAATAAATATAAAAAAAATAGCATCAACATATAATGAACAACAATAGAATTCTACTTTCAACTTGCAACATAAAGCAACATAACACCTACAACAATAGATACACAATATCATCTAATAGCAACAACATTTTCAACACATCGTATTTTACTTAAATTGGCCACTTGTAATCGGTATAGTTCGGCCTGACCCCTATACCGTGGTCGCTTCATACACATGTGCCTCGACCTTGCCCACACACGGGACCAACCAAGTCCTAGAGGAGAACAACACATCATCCACTCCAAGGGACAACTTTCTAAGGAAGGTTTTTCAACAAATTGGACTCTTAGAGCACCACAACTATCTCAATCCGCACAATGGGATGAGCAACTTCGAAAACTTCTCCTCTAGTCCTAGTGATCAACAACTCATCACAACACAATCATATAGTATTTATTACAATAGCTCAACTATCAATTCATTCATACAACATTATATACAACTTGAATACAACAATCCATGCAACATCAACTAATGCGTCGTCACGCATGTACAACTAGGAGATCTCCAATAATTGAGGTTGAGCAGTCTAGGTGGCATAAACCCTACCGAATCCAGCATTTGACCTATCTCAACCAGGTCAGGTATAGGACATCGTTAGGAACTCCGAAGAGAACCAGGTATAGACAACAATAGGTGATTACTCAGGTGTGCCACTTACACTCGAATGTCCAATACTACTGTTAGGACAGAAGGGTTTGGGTATGAGCCTACCACGGCCTTGGCTAGCATCACCAATCCACATATGGAGTTAGCCCACCCACTGTCCTCCAAGTACCACGCACCCTCCAGTACCTAGTCGAAGACTACATCTCTAACTAGATACCTTACTCAAATTGGTCATTCAATCATGACATGGATCGACTACTTCCATGTCGCCCACACAGTACTAAGAGATTCAACTTTAAAACAACTTTCAACTTATCACCTTAGTACTATGTATCTCAACATAGGACATATATCTTCACCATATGTCCCCAACTTTTAAACTTTACAACAATAGGCAGCTTTACAACTTTACGACAATAGACAACTTTACAACTATATCATCATAAAAACTTTACAGCAATAGGCATCTTAACAACTTTATAGCAATAGGCATCTTAACAACTTTACAGAAATAGACATCTTACAACAATACAACAATAGACATCTTTCAACGATAGACAACTTACAAAAATACAACAATAGACATTATATACCAGCTTGACAACTTCTTATTCAATTATACAACTATACAACTTTAATAATTTTAACAACATGCAAACAACTTAATTAAACAACTATAGTCATCACAATATCAACTTAATGCAACTTAACAACTTTACAACCTTAAAAACAACTTCAACAATATACCACATATTCGACATAAATTTACAAATCAACTAACATATTTAAAATTCATCTATCATGTCAACTTACACAATGTAAACAGCATAAATCAACTTTAGCACCCAACAACTCAACTATTTCAACAAAAGAAAACAATGCATAAAGCTTCCCTAACCTGAAGATTGGCTCTAAAAGCCAAGAATACGAGAGGAAGAAGAAGAAGGAGAAAAAGAATAAGAAATATCCTTCAAAGCTTGACTCTTGAACTTCAATCCTCCAAAAATAAGCTTTCTAGTCTAGAGTCCTTTTCTCTAGAACTTCTCTCTAAAACCTCTCTTTCTCCTCAACTGCCCACAGGTCATATTTATAGAAATCTGAAGTGGCCGGAATGGCCCGTTTCAAATCCAGAATGGTCCGTTCTGGGCTCCTTCATGATGTGTAAAATTCACATGCAGAACGGCCCGTTCTGAAACCAGAACGGCCCGTTCTGGCACGTTTAGAACGGTCCGTTCTCAAACCAGAACGACCCGTTCTGTAATTGAATTTAACTTACAACAACTATATTTAGAACGGTCCGTTCTCAACTAGGATTTACAAGCCTATTTAGTAGTCTGGAACGGTCCGTTCCAGTTTGGGAACGGCCCGTTCTGGGCTACTAAATCACCTTCTTTTAGTAGTTTGGAATGGTCCATTCCAACTTTGAAATGTCCCGTTCCAGTCTACCAACAGCGTTACAATTTATATGTTTAAAAATATCTATTTATATAATTTTAGATATAATTTATATATTTAAATCTAATAATTATTTATATATAGTTTATTATAAATTTTAGTTAAATATAATAAATACTTGAAATAAAATACTAGTTATTATTAATATTTGAACCTAGCTAGTCTTTTTAGTTGGGATTGTATTTTGTTGTTTTACCTAAATAGTCTACATATGATCTATCCACTTTATGGGTCCAGATCTATTGACCGATAATGGCTTTACTTATATTAGCCATTTGAATTGTATCATTGAGGCAAGATGAATGAAGAATCTTTATTTTATTTGATTTAGTCATCTTTTATTTATTTAATATTTTTTAATGTTACTTCCTAACATTTTGGTGTTTTTATTGCCTTATTATAGATGTTTTAATTAATTTTAAAAAATATGTTAGCAGATTTTAATAATTATAAGTGTTTTTAATTAAATAATAAATATTTGTAAAATTATTTTGTATAATAAATATTGGAGATATATGTATTTTTATGTTATTTTGTTATAAAAAGTATTTGGAGAAAATGTATTTTAATTAGTTATGTGATTAAATATATTTTAAAAAATATTTATTTTATATATTATTTATGTCTAAATATTTTAAAAGGGAGGGTGTTATACCATGAATTTCCTATATTTTTCTTTTTCTTATATATATATATATATATATATATATTTATATATACATGTGGTGTTAATAAAATCAAAACTTTTATCAATAATTTTACTATCTCGCACAGTGCTCTAGAATAGTAAAAATGTATTTTTCATAATGGTAAATTTAATGTTAATGTTTTTGGAGGGGTGAAAGGAAATGAAATGTTGAAAGAAAAAAATGTGTGTTTAATTCGATAGAAATTGTCAACGAAACTGCACATACCTACAATATTGTCAGGTACTAATTCTACAATTTAGATGCATGTGAAAAAGTAAAAGAGGTGAAGGAATAAAAGAATAATGTAAAATTCAAGATAATTAAAACTAACCATCGAAATAGATGAGGAATTGGAAAAAGACAAAAGAAAAGTAAAAAATTGAAATTTGGATTGTAAAATTAAAAAAACAAAAGAAAACTATGAATATTTTAGAAATTTGTTTTTTTTTTTTAAAATAAAGTAGGTGTACTTATTAAAATAAAATGTATATATGATGAGTCTTTATTTTTCTTTTCTACTTTTCATAATTAGAAGTGACAAAAAATTTACGGGCCAGAGAATTGAACCAAAAATAAATAAATACGGCCCAGAGAATTGAAAAAGAAGCCCAGAGAAGGTTTACTATGTATGGGTCTGAATCTGATAACCCAACCCGGAATATATACGGCTTATCGAAGTCGAGGCTTAAACCTCAGAAGAAACCTAACTAATAACTATTGCCGCCTTCCTTGGGTTTCCCCTTCAACCCTATTCTTCTGCTGATCAAACTTCACTTAACGCGCACCGTTTCGGAGCGTGGCTCCTCCTCCTCCATGGACAAGACCAAGACCATCTCCGTCGATCGGAGACCTTCGGAATGTGTCTCGTCGCACTCCATCGACAAGATTACTTCCATAGATTGGAGACCTTCTCCGGTGGTGGCTTTGGCCACCAGCTTCGACGGCTTGCGAGTCGCCGCCGCTCGCCACGACGGCTCCCTCGAAATATGGCTCGTCTCGCCCGGCTCCATCGGTTGGCACTGTCAGCTGGTAACTAACTAACTTACTATCACTAACTAACTAACTAACCATACATTCTCTCCATTGTTATGATTCTGATGCATTGCGCAGACTATACACGGAAACCCTAACGGGAAAGTGACGTCGCTTATTTGGTGCCCCGGTGGCCCCCACGGAAGTCGCTTGTTTTCGTCTCACTTAGACGGCTCCGTTACTAAGTGGGATCTTTTCCACTTGAACCAGGAGGTATCGTGTTTCATCTTCTCTTTTCGTTTCGAGATAGTGTGCTTGAAACTTGTGAACTCTTTATTGTGTTTTTGTCTTGGTGTGGAATGGAGGCTAACGAGTAAACACCTACTTTCATCTTTGAGAATTTAGAAGACACTGTAATCTTAACCTAAAAATTGTAAAATTAGTTCCTATAATGTTTTTAAATTTATTCGCTTGCTGATATTTTAGTCCTTCAATATATATATATATATTATCGCTTTAGTCTCATTTTTTTTTCAGTGTGGACTTATGTGATTGTCAATTTGTACTTTTAGGACTAATTTTACAATTTTTAGCTTTAGGGACTAATATGATAAAATCAGGGACTACAGTGGGTGTTTATTCTTCTAGCAATAGAAAAACATGTTAGAGACACTTATTTGTAGGACTGTTGGGTTAGAGCATCTGCAATGGGGGTTGCTTATAAGCAACCCCCATTGCAGATGCTCTTAGGAATGTGTTCTTAGTTACATGTCGGGTAATATTTGTTAAGGTGTTGAAAGAGTTTTCTGAATGAGTGGTGCTTTGAGGTTTTTTTTTCTTTGGTTGTTGTATTGTGTGGGTTGCTTACTTTGACCCGTGGCACTTGCAGACGGTGCTTGATTCAGTTGGTGTCTCAATTTGGCAAATGGCAGTGACTTTTCCCAAGGGTGACAAGATAAATGATGAGAAGAAGGGTGATCAAATGGGGAATGGGTTCCATGATTTTGATGAACATGAGAGCAGTGAAAGTGATGAAGATTTTGATTCACCTGGTCCTCATGAGGGTTCTGTGGGTGAGAATCCACGTGTAGCAATTGGTCTTGACAATGGACATGTGGGAATTTATGATATCTCTGACACAGATGAATTTATTTACGAAAAATCTTTGCCCTGGGTCAATGGTGAGGTTTTCCTCAAGTTATTTGTCTGTAGCAGGTGTTCCTTTTTTTAATGCATTACTCCCATTAAGAGGATGTTTTGTGTTATGGCTTGCAGGACGAGTTTTAAGTGTGACATGGAGTACAGATGCTAACTACATATATTCAGGAAGTAGTGACGGGTATGTATTGAAGTTGTGATTTATAAGAGATCACCTATTTTCTTATGCTAGAAAACAAGGTTCTATGCTTAATTATGCAAAAAATTTAGTAGGTCCGGCAACATAGTCTACACATTTGTTAAATTTGTGACATCACTTAGATCAATGTCCTTACTTGTGTTTCTTGTTTGTCTCCTCTCAGGTTGATAAGATGCTGGAATGCCGCATTGGGCAATGAAATATATAGGATTACAGCTGGACTTGGAGGTTTGGGCAGTGGACATGAACTTTGTATATGGTCATTACTGTCTTTAAGGTGATAGTGAATGCTTCTTTTTGTCGATTTATTGTCTTTGAATTTAACTAATATGCAATTTCTTATGCTATCCACATCCATCCTATTGTTATAATTTGTCGGCAAAGTCATTTTTTTCTATTTGCAACCTTTTGTAGCTAATGAGTTAGTTATTATTATTTAGGTCTGGGACACTTGTTAGTGCGGACAGCAGTGGTAGTGTCCAGTTTTGGGACAGCCAACACGGAACTCTCTTGCAAACACATTCATTACACAAGGGACATGTAAATGCTCTGGCAGCAGCCCCTAGTCATGATAGGGTGTTCTCTGCTGGTTCTGATGGCCAGGTACTGAGTTGTATGATTTGTGAATTCTTCTTATGAAACTATTAATTTATCTTTTTGACATTGCAATTGACTGCTTATGCGTGTGTATTTAATAGCTGTTTGGCAATATATTTTTGACATTACTTATTAGTTCACATGATTATTTTGCATAATTGCCATTGTTGTTGACATCAAATTCAAGTTGTGACTGGATATTTTTCTCTGCTCTTTTTTCCTTTAAATTAATGCTCTCATTGCATTGGTCCTTTATATAGGAAATTAATAACTAGTTCATTAAGACTAATAAAAGTAGTTAAGGTAGTTAATTTGGGGAGAAATCTTTGGAACACACTCCCTTTTATTGGTTTAAATTTATTAAAAATTACAAACTTTGGTGGATCCCACACCCTATTTAGTGAATCTCTTGGATTTTTTTTTTTTTTTTTTGTGTTTTCAATGAAATTTAACTAATAAGAGAGTTAAAACGAGTACAATATAGTGTGTTGCTGGCACTCTCTAATTTTAATTAATAATGTCAAATTTAAATTGTATTTTAAAAATACCCTTTGAATTAAATGGTTTAAATAATAGTTATATTAATGACAATACACCTAATTCAAAAGATCATGTTTCCTACAGAGTGTAACTGGTATTGTTAATAGACTAATAAATGCATCTGTATGCATGAGAGATGAGTAGGTGGCACATTTATAAATTTAACAATAAATGAAATGTGTAAAATGGTATTAGCTATTAACTCATCATAAAGTGAATCTCGTTTCTCATAATTAGGACTTAAAAAGAACATTCATTTGTTTCTAATAAAGAGGACAAGAGGGAGTATGTTTTGTGTTTTGCTACATGGGAATGTGTATGATGGTTTCAGTTTTGCAAGTGTACTTATATGAAGGCCATATTGCAAAATATAGTAGCGTTAAAAGGTTTAAATAGTACAAGGATTTAGAATAAGTGGAAACCAAAAATCACGTTGAAATTTAAATGATTAACAGGATATGGTTTTGAAATGGACCACTATAAAGTAGTTCTATGATTGGTTGTATAATTTTCTCAATAAAAGTAAAAAACAGTGATGTTTACAAGACATAAAAATTTGTAGTTTGAACATTTGGTTTTTGATGAGATGGTTAGAACCCTTTAGTGTAATTTTACCATGAATTGATTCAATGAGTATTGAGATTGGCATGATTCGTACCAATGTTTTTTAAGTTGAATCGGTTCAATGGTCAAGCTGTGGATAAATTGTAGTCAAATTGCAATAAATAAAATAATATATTTATAAAAAATTATAATCAAGAATTTAAAAAACGTAAACTTCACAACATTAAAAACTTCAAGAGTGATATAATTTATAATTTTTTTAAATTTAAAATTCCAAACAGAAGTCCAAATTAAATATAAAAGTACTTAACCACAGTAGTTAGTATAAAAATGACAACATTTTGCACTTATAAAAATTGGAATACTAAATAAAATAGATAACTAAAAAGCTTGATGTAAAAAGAGAAGTATATGTGATGTGATACATGGCACGTACAAAGATATTTACTTTGTAAATTCCTACTGACACATGTCATCTAGAAGGCAAATGCTACCCAATAATTTTTAAGCTTAAATATGTTTAAACTACCTCAAATTAGGTCAGTTTTTGGATTACTACTTTTTAAATTTTCTTTTTGTTTAAATTACTTGACTAATATTTTTTTTTTAATTTAGTTCCTGATGTTAGTCTCCGTCTATTAAATGATGACGTGGCTAACAAACTGCCACATCATCACCCAATAGTGCCTACCACGTCATCTAAATGGCTGCCACCCAACAGCCACGTCACCCAACGCTCCTGATGCAACTGTTGGTGAATTTTGAGTGTATTGATGTTGGCATTGAAAACGGGAGGTGAAGGCGGAGCGGGAGCGCGGGGGTGATACTCCGGCAGTGGCGCGGCGGGGGGTTCCAAAACGGAACCGTGGAACTTGATGTCGGCGAAGGAAGGCGCGATGGGAGGAGTTGGTACTTAAAGGTGAGGTCCTGCGCCGATGTGTCGCAGAGCGTGGCGAGCTTGGAGAGGAAGGTGGTGAACTTGATGGAGTGGCGTGCCTTGGGCCCTAAGTTCGCAAAAGTGTAGACGCAGAAGCCAAGCCTGACCCATGACCAGTCATGAAGGCCTAGCTAAGCCATGCCACAATCTCCCCAAAGTAATTAGGGCAAGCGACGAGCTCGAACAGGCCTCCCCTGGGAACAACGTAGCCCTTCCCTTGGCCCTTGAGCCGCAACAGAGCCTATTGGCCCAGACATTGATCCACATTTCGTAGGAGAACACGCGTGAGAAGCCCAAGGAAGAAGCGGTGCCAGAAAAGGCCGGTGGAGTAGTCGATGTAGTGCGAGACAGTGCGGGCCTGGAGGTAGGAGTTGAAGGTGAAGGCCATGAGGGCGAGGGGGAAGGGGGTGGGGCTTTGGAGGGAGGTGTGAGGAGGAGGCGGAAGGGGTAGAGGGCGGTGCGGTGGAAGTAGTGGAGGAGGAAGGGGGTCATTAAGGTTTCGGCTTTGGGGTCGGAGGCATGCCGACCCTGGGGGAAGAGGAGGAGCGTCAGCCAGAGTGTTGGGCTCTCCATAAGGAACCAGGCCAAGGGGGCAGAGATGACTGAGAATGAGTTGAAGATATGTGCTGACATTGCATACACTGTTGGGTGATGACGTGGCAGTCTGTTAGCCACGTCATCATTTAACAGACGGAAATTAACGTCAGGTATTAAATTGAAAAAAAATATTAGTTAGGTAATTTAAACAAAAAAAAAATAAAAAGTAGTAATTCAAAAATTGACCTAATTCGAGGTAGTTTAAGCATAATTAAGTCTAATTTTTATTACAATTGATAATGTAAAGGGCTTATAAAAGTTATTCTTCCATTTTTATCTCACTGCAAAAACTGCAGTGCTCTATCTAAGCAAAACCTGAAAGCAGAAAGAACAAGAAGCAGGGAGGTCACACACCGTCCCAGGAAATCACAAATGCATGGACTCGTGGGCAGCAACAGCTAGCAGGTTTGACTTGGTAGCTGCAGTGTGTCATCACAGGAACTCGCAGCACCCTTTGACCTCGTGAGTGAGAGTGACCGGTAGGGTAAGGCAACAGAGGAGTCTGATGCGAATTCCATTTTCTTTTCTAAACAACAAAATAATTTTTTTTGGTTCCTGGTATAGTTGTATTGAACCATTGTGTTGACCTGTTGAGAACCGAAAAACAGCTGACCAGTTTTTTTTCATCATCTTGTTTCCTGGGTTAATTCCCCGGTTGAACTGGCTGGGCTGACCAGGTTTTCAGAACAATAATCCATACTGTCTCATTATTGGTAATGATTGAGCAATATGTGAGATATTTAAGCTTTTATGTTCCCTTGGGGCCTGGTTTTGTTGCACAAGTAAAACAAAGATGCAGCATCATTAGGAATGTCATGAACACCATTCATTGGATTTATTCTTGGAGATTGAATTATGTGGGGAAAGAAGAGATGAAATAACATTATTGAGGGGCATTTTTAGTAGGCCAGGTTAGATAAGCATTTTATGTGGTGTAACTTTAAATTAGTAGATTATTTTTATTACCTAATCTGGTAGGTTCTTAAAGATCTAAGCATATCTAGATTCTCACTTATTCCAATCTCTGTCAATGTGAATTTTATTAGTTTGCTGCGTAATCAAAAAGAATGAGAACCCCATTTCCAACCATTACCTTCATTTTACTCTCCTATCTCAAACTTTCCTATAATTAAGTTAGTGTGACAATGAAACCTAGTAACAGATAATTAGCTCCATTTGTTTTGTATTTCTATTTTTATTCCTGTTTCTTTTTATATAAGTTTAGGTGTTCTCTATTACCTTATGGGCAAATTATTGTGTATTTCAGCCTTATAATCAAAAAGGAATTTGCTGAACATCTGTATAGTTTTTTTTTCTGGTTTGTTTCCCTCACTTTTAAGAATAAATAAATATTTGACTGTTACATATGATGTGCCTTCTGGATGCTTCCAATGTATGTGTATCTTGAATTGCTCTTAGTGGAGGTAGACTGTGTATCATATTTCAGTGTATCACATTTATTGAGTTCTGTATTTGTATATTCTTAAAGAATGATGATTAATGCCATTGCAATATTATGCATGTGTCAGTAAATTGGTGTGTTGTTATTTTTTATTCATTAAATTGTTGTCTGTTGCCCCCTTTTCCAGTCAGTGTACTGTTATTCCATACTTGAGTCTGTTGATGACATGAATTATAATAATGTTGGTTTAGTTTATTTTATTTGAAGGTTATTCTTTACAAGCTGTCTAGTAGTCAGTCAGCATCATCTGATGATAACAAATCTTCATTAACTAAGAGATGGAACTACCTTCACTATGTAAGGGCTCACACGCATGACATCAGGGCTCTGACTGTTGCTGTACCAATAAGTCATGAAGGTGTTCAAAATTATATTGTTTATAATTTTGTTATTTGTTTCGCAAATATTGTATTAGCTTGTTTCGATGAGCTTTGGGTCTAATTTAAAGCAAGGATTCTTGAAAAGGTTAAATTTTATCTTTTCAAGTGAGAAATGAAAAATTCTTTTCTTCTATTTTCTGAAGGTGTATCTTTCAGCATAACCAAACTTCTTTTCAGAAGTGTATCTTTGCTGTAGAAAAGCTTATCCAAATGGAGACTGTCTTTAGTTGCTACATATGCATTTGCCATCTTCTGTTCCTTACCTGTGCATTTTTGTGTAGCAGATATTAAGGCAGAAAACAGGTTTAAAAGAGCTCGACGTGGAAAAAAGTCCGCTGATTTTAGTTACCATAAGTGGGCTCATTTGGGGGTTCCCATGCTCATCTCAGCTGGAGACGACACAAAACTTTTTGCATACCCAGTGAAAGAATTCACTAAGTTTTATCCTCATGATATCTGTCCTGCGCCTCAGAGAACACCCATTCAACTAGTGCTTAATTCTGTCTTTAATCAATCCAAAATGCTTTTAGTCCAATCTTCGCAGTGGATAGATGTTCATTTGCTACAACTAAAAAATGTCTGCACCCCTGGAGACTTTGCAAAGACCAAAATACTTCGTCGAGTCAAAACTAAGGCATCTAGGAAGATAATTTGCAGCACAATTTCTAATTCAGGGGCGCTGTTTGCATACTCTGATCAAGAAAAGCCTAGGCTTTATGAATTGGAAAGGGGTAAAGATGGTAAAATTCCATGGGATGTTCGCAGACGGATGCTTCCTCAGAGATTACCATTTGCCCATTCTATGATTTTTACTCATGATTCCTCCTGTATGATAGTAGCAGGTCACGATAGAATGATATATGTAAGCTAGCAACGCACTATCTCTATTATGATTAAACTATGTTTTATGTAAAAGTATGGTTTTTTTACTTCAAAAGGGAATTTCTATTGCTTGTTTTTGCAAGAAAACTTGGGTTACTTTACTCCATACATTATGATATTGATGCTGTTCATCATTATCTGTTTGCTATTCTGGTCCTCGCTTAACTGGAGCTTTGTAATTTTTTTTCACCTGAAGACTGTTTAAAGGGAATTTACGTTGTTTGTACTTACTATTATTAAAAATTGTCCAGATTGGGTTTAAATGTCAAACAGCTGTGATTTGTTATCTTACTCTAAAATGCTACTAGTTCTCTTTTTTCTTTATCTTTTGTGGTTTCTTCGTTATTATTATTTGCTAGAATGTAAGCTGGGGCAATTCTAAATTGGTTTGTATAATTTTTAAATTTCTCTTGGTTGTTTTTCTAGTCTCTGGTTTCCTTAGTGTTCACTAAAATATCATGATCTTAGGCTTTAAAAATCTATTTGTTTGTTTTATTGATAGTCTTTTCTTTTGAATGGTATAGGTTGTGGATGTTGAGAGATCAGAACTAGTGCACACTTTTACACCTTGTCGTCAATTGGATGTGGACTCAAGTCCAACTGAGCCACCCATTACAAGATTGTTTACTAGTTCTGATGGGCAGTGGCTGGCTGCTGTGAACTGCTTCGGTGATATATATGTATTTAACTTGGAGACACGAAGGTGTTTTTTCTGATTTACTTAACTTCTTTTTAATTCAGGAGATCTATTACTGTAGTTGATTTGCTGCATATAGCTATGACATCTTGTTATTAGTTGAGAAAATTGAAAATAGAAGGATAAGCTTTTGCGAAGACATGCAAATATGCATCAGACAATCAAAAGAAAGTTTTTGACCCGGATGTTAGTTGCGTTTGCCATGGCAGATTAGTTGCAAAATTAATTTAATTGGTAATACCAAAGGCTCCTTTATTATTTTTCCCCGCTTTTTCTTTTGGCTTGCTCTTTGATTTGATTCTAGAGGGTGAGAGTGATTGCATTTGCATGAATTATTTGATATTAATATCCGTGTTTTTCTGTATTTTATAAAATAAATATTTTTGTACTACAGGAATCAATGGTTCATTTCAAGATTGGATGGTGCCTCTGTTACGGCTGGTGGATTTTCACCCCGGAATAACAATGTATTAATAGTTACAACTTCATCAAATCAAATGTATGTATTTGACGTGGAGGCCAAGCGGTTGGGAGAATGGTCAAGTCAAACATCTGCTCTTCCGAGGAGATACCAGGAATTTCCTGGTGAAGTTATTGGACTGTCTTTCCCTCCATCAACTTCATCTTCGGTTGTTGTTTACAGCTCCAGGTAAGCTTTATTTTCTTTATAAACACTTATTGGATGAAGTATTTTGTGTGCTGTATTATAGGTTATAGCAAGTCTATGATATACATAATTTTTGAGAAATTCTAAAGTACTTGGAAATTGGAATTGCTTCTACTTAATTTCAGACTTGTGATACATGGAAAGTTAATGCTTTTATGTAGGCATGGCAATCTAACCTGCCCCAGTGGGTACCTGCCCGAATCCGTCCGGATTTAGACGGGGAAAACCCGTATTTATCGGGTTCGAGTTCGGGTTTTCCTGATTGATAAAATCAGGGACGGGGTAGGACGGGGATGTTAATACCCACCCGCCCCCGCCTCCGCCCCCGTCCCGCTTAATAATATAATTAAAAAATTATTTATATATATATATAAACTAAAATTAAAAAATTTATATGTAATAATTTATATTATTTTACTTTTCTTTTATTTTTTTTTAAATTATTCATATTTATTTAAAAGAAAAAAAGAAAAA